GCCCATGGTGACCATGGTGGAGCAGGCTGTCCCTCTGCAGCCCATGGTGACCATGGTGGAGCAGGCTGTCCCATGCAGCCCACGGTGACCATGGTGAAGCAGGCTGTCCCCCTGCAGCCCATGGTGACCATGGTGGAGGAGGCTGTCCCCTGCAGCCCATGGTGATCATGGTGGAGCAGGCTGTCCCCTGCAGCCCATGGTGACCATGGTGGAGCAGGCTGTCCCCCTGCAGCCCATGGGGCCCACAGAGGGTGCAGAGATCCACCTGCAGCCCGTGGAGGAGGGAGGTCCCCACGCTGGAGTGGGCCGATGCGGCAAAGGGGGCTGTGTCCAGCAGGAGACCCATGGAGAGAGAGGCTTTGCTCCCGAGATGGAACAGCCTGGCCTTGGGACTGCACCCAGTGGATGAGGGACCCCACGGTGCAGCAGTTTGGGGACGACTGTCTGCCTGTGGGGGGACTCACACAGCAGCAGATGTGTGTGGACTGCTGCTCGTGAGAGTGGAACCGCGCCGGAGAGGTTCATGGAGAACTGTCTCCTGTGGGAGAGACCCCACGGCAACGCAAGGGAAGGACTCCTCTCCCTCAGCTGTCACAGAGGATCCGGTGATGAACTGAACAACCCCACACCCTGTTTCGTTCCTGCTGCTTTGTTGTATGTGGGAAGGGGGGAGGGAGTGGGGAGAAGATCGGTGTCTTTGAGGGTTGCAATTTATTTCTCATTCTCCTCCTCTGACTTTGTTAGTAATAAATTCACTTGATTATTTAAGTTGTGCCTGTTTTGTCCATCAAGTGTTTTCCTCCTTATTGCTTATCTCAACTCATGAACCTTTTTGTTAGTTTTTTTTTTTCCCCCCCCATTCGCTCTTCTCTACCCGGTGTGGTGGTGGGGGAGAGCGAATGAGCAGGTATTGTGGGTGCCTGGCTTTAAGCCAGCATTCCAAACCGCAACAGCTTGGAAACTGAATGGTTTAAAAACAGGATTGTATCTAAGACAATTTAACGTTAAATATTGGTTATTGAAAAATCAAACGTCAACCTGTTCACTGTAGAAGTACTAACGATAAACAGCTTTATTTCAGCACTCAGGTGAGGGTTCTGCAAACTCTTTWAAGCTTAAAGACACTATAACTGAGCCCTCCCTTTGGAATTCTAACCATGTGATAAGACTCTTTATGACGACTTCAATATTTAGACTCTTATCAGAAGCRGGAGAAAGCACAAGGCGGCATTCAAAAGAATTAAATAAATCTGAATTCAACAGAAATAATTTAATACATTTCTTCAAACATTATCATCCTCCAGGGAAGCTTTCTTCGTGTTGGTGGTGCTATCATTGTTGCTTCTTTCAGTTCAGTCTTCTTTACTGGGGTAGATCCTGTCTCAGATTTCTGATGGTTTTGCTAATTTGTGTCAATATTGAACTTGGTTTAAAAAAAGCTTGTGAATTAATATTTTCAAAATTCTCATGTTTCAAACAAGGTGTGACAAGATTAGCATTCCATAGAAAGAAACTTGAAGCTACACGCAATCCTGAAAGAAAGGGTGGAGATACAGAGTTGGTTTTTTATAAGGACCATCCTAAATAATTGCTCTTCAAGGACTTGATACAAAGCTGGGCTTTCCAGAATTGTCCGTGGTTACAATTTCCAAACCTCTCATCCTGTACATCCTCATGCTTTCCATAGTGCTGCTGGTATTAGTTTAATGGATGATACATGAGGTGTTGTGAGGAAGCTGTGCTGTAGGGAAAGGCTCTTCTGAGTCATGAACACTGCTCAACTGTCRACTCATTAAATTGATTAAAAGTGTGCCTTGTTATAGGCCAGCTGCTTATGCAATTTTTAAGTGATGCATAGGTTGAGATCTCATTAATTGAACTTTTATTTATTCTCATGGCTTTGTGATCTGAGCTGTTGTATTATTATGTTGTTTACATCGTCACCTTTGCCAGCGGTCATGCAATACCTGCATGTTTGGAAAATAACCTTTCTGAGGAATATAGGATAATTTTCTGCTCTTTAGCAGGGTTTGGAATGATGAATCATCCCAGAGACGCATATATTAGACACCTTTAGTGCTGGGCCCATCTCTGTATCCAGTTTGAAACATAGTTATCTCTCCCAAAAACACTACTAATAAAGAAGCTTTAACAGAATTTAAACAATAGTTTGAAACAAACTCCATTTCTCTCTTTCCCAAAAAGTAAATTCAACAGGATGCAGGTAACAAAACAATCTACTTAAAAATTAGTTCCTTAACTGTGCTCATGCATGTGCTTCTTTCCCTGCCAGACAAAGTTGTTCAGGTCACAGTGATAAGATTATTCTTTTTATGAATTACACAGTATTGCAAATCACAAGGCAATTAGCAATAAATAAAATATTATCCTGAATCATCTCAATAGATGCAAAGTCAGTAGGTAGCAAATAGACCATTACAGTTTAAAAAAAAATTAAAGAAAGTCTACAGCACAAGAAAAAAAACTTGGCACTGCAAAGGCAACTCAGTTAAAAGCTGCAGTCTGCATTATTCTTATATGAACTATTAACACCATTTTTRGAAGGAATATGTGATGATCTGAGTCATATCCGGTCTACTCTCTCTAGTGACTGCAGGAAGTTGATCTGTGTCATAAAAAATACAGAAAACACCCTGGAATATGGCTCTGTGTGGAGAGAGCTGTAATGAAAAACGTCCTTCAAGGCCTAAGGTTTGTTATTTGTGGAGCCCTCGCTGTCAGGCTTGTGTTTGACATGTGTGGAAAGCTTGTAATTACCTGGATCTCATGTATTGTACTCCAAATCTGCAGAGAACTGCTTCATAACTCACTTAGGGTTCACTGGGAATATAATACTCACTAATTAGAAAATATGAGTGACAGACAAATTCTTAGCACTGGGGAGGGCTCTAGACCTCTTTAGAATTTCTTGTACTTCTCTCTCATAGGCCAAAGCACCTGTTTTAGRCATATCTAAAGCTGTTTCAAAGCTTGATTTTTTTTTCAGTCATTGTGAGTTGTGTCCTGAAGGCAAAACAGACAAAAATTTCCCCTCTCTGCATGTACCTTTTAAACAAATCCTGAAAATTTAGAGGCACAAACATTCCGCTGATGTTGAAAAGGAAAATATGAAGTTTTTAAAAAAATACTTAAACAAGTCCAAAGGAGCTTAAAYAGAAAGCAACTATTGCTGGTAWGGTTTTATTCTGAGCACTGAACCTCGTTCTGTGGATTCATCTAAAATACGCCACATGGGACTTCACCAAAAGGAAATCAGTTTTCTGGGAAGTGGCTRTTGTGGTAGCAAAGAACCCATCAGAGCTGTAATCAGAACTGTTTGCTCAGGGTTTTCTTGTGAAATGGGATGAAATCCTGCTTTAAAACTGGGGCCATCCATCCCCCATCTGGGTAATCAGCTCCCAAAAGGGAACACCACGTGGAGGAGCCAGTTAATCCATTTTTCTGGAGCTGAGGCATTTCCTAATACACAGATATATTCTTCTACCTGAGTGGTGCTCAGCTTACACAAACAAGAGAAAGATCACTCAAAGAATGCACAAGCAATTTGGYAAATGCCACATTAAGGCCAAAATTTTACTGAGAGAAACCTGGAAAAGGAAGAACAGTCATACGGAGACAGAAACATCTAAATCATGGAGCTGAAAAMAATAATTTTGAACAAAAGATGGCATACAAATTAACTATTGTAACTCAACAGAATTTGGGCAATGCTCTCAGGCACATGGTGTGGTTTTTGGGGTGTTCTCTGCAGGGCCAGAACTCGATGGTTCTGATGGAATCCTTCCAGCTCTGGATTTTGTGATGCTGTGATTCCATTTAAAAAACAAGAGTGCTGTCTTCACTGTGAGTCTCAACCTCCCAGTTGGTGGCAGAATTTGTCTCATGGTCATAATTCYACCAGTAATGTTGATCTTTTATAGAAGGCATTAATTAGTGAGTATTCAGAATGATAAGAAATAATCATGTAAAGAATTTATGAATTAATATTCATATATTATTAAATAGAAGGCATAGAAACTGGGAGGATTATATKCTTTGGACAGCTCATATAAAACATCAACTAAGATCACAAAATTATGATATATGCTCATAAATTTGTTATTGTTCCTTCCAGAGTATCCCTGTTCTTCTCAATATTATCAGAGTTGACTTCTGGGTGAGAAAAGGTTTGACTTCTCAGAGYTGACTTTTGGGTGAAAGAAGGACCCTGTAACCAAAGCCACCAGAGAATTCTTACTTTTTTGGTGCATGCAGAGCCTCTATTTAAAGTCTCACACAAAAGGTTTCTATAGAAACCTGAAGGACTCAGCCAACTGGTGCTAAAAYGATGGACCCCAAGGCCTTTGTGGGTAAAACCCCACAAAGATATTTATCCACTCCACTGCTCCTGAAATCACTGATATCCACCATRTTTCAGCATACATCTTTTATGCACCTATTGTATGTTACACTAGCACACTATCTTTAAAAATAAAWCATTCTGGTCACTGTTAAAAACATGGCTTTAACTCAGGTCCTCAGCTGATCCCAAAGGTAGTGAATTGAAATGAAAATTATCTCTGCTCTCCTTTCTGGCACATACTATCACCTAGCACATGTAATATGAGCTTTACTTTTTTTTTTCTTTTCTTTTCTTTCTTTTTTTTAAGGACCTGTTTGTCCTATATATAGCTATGCTTTAAATTGTTACTCACTAAAAGAGCAAGTATTTTTGGTTGCTTCTGAAAGTCATATTTCCATAGTGATGCTGACAGAAATATGAAACACACCATGAGAAGTGAAACTTCACTCACTATCACAGATCCTGCTCTCAGCTACCATTTTTAAGCCAGTGTGGAATATTGTATGTGCAAAACTCATTTATTTTCTGGATGAATTTTTTTTTTTTTTAATATATGTTGCGATGGAAGAAAGATGGAAGACCATTCACCCCTGTCACTTATTTGGGGCAGTGCTTCAGAGGACAAAACACATTTCTCATAATGGTTTAGTGGGAGATGATTCTTGCACGGATTTTTTTCTTTTCTTGGTAATATTAGAAATGCAGATTCCTTCATTTCCCTATTTCTCATAGTAGTGTGGTACTTAGGCAAAATCATTAAACATTAAAAAAAATCTGTCTTGCTTCTCTGTCTCTCTCTCTCTCTCTCTCTATACATATACCATATCTATACTCTATATGACTGAGCATGATGCAATGCTAATTCACATTTACTGTTCCACCAAGACGATTATTTTGTAAGTATTTAACTTAATTAAATGAAAATTAATTAAAATTAAATTAAATTGCTATTCTTCAATTTACAGATTTTTGTTGTGGAAGTGAAGCTCACAGCTTGTTACTGTCTCATGACACCCTCTTTCAATTTAATATTGAAAYTAATTGTTATTAAAATGAACTATTACCTATTATATTTTCAGAGAAAAGTCCTCATTAGCCTCTGAATTTTATTACTGTACCATTTCAGTGCTGTGCAGACTTCCTCATGAAAATCGCTTTCAAAAACCCACGTCAAAAAATGCTGAATAAGGACTTCAGAGCCTTTTAATTAATTTTTAATCTTTGTTCCTGAGCATGGAGCTGATGTCAATAAAATGTCCAGGAGGACTCTATTTTATTTTAAGAAGAARTCATCAGGTTTATCGAGCCAATATCTGCTCCCAGGTATGGCTGAAACGTTTCATCTTCAACAATGTCAGCTTCAGGCAACTCATCTCAAGTTAAAAATACTTTAAGAAATTATTTTACTTAAAAAGCTTTAGGAGAGAAGCGCAAATAAGCAAATTAAAAGGAAGAATCAGTAAAGTTRAGCTACCTGTGCCACTGCCTTCCTTATGATTGCCACCACCCCACAAATGGCAGACCCGTGATGTGAATTTCCATTCACATTTCCACTTTGTTGCATAATTACAACCACTGTAATTTGGGATTTTACTAACTGTGGTCGTGACAGGGCATGTTCATCGACTTCCTTAAATTTCTCATAAAAAAATCTTTGCCAGTTCTCACAGTAAAGTTTAGGAGGTGGGAAAACAAGGCTGAAACTGTAGAAAGAAAACCTTTATTTGAGATTCTACAGTACCAGTATGATTTGTACAKATACTTGCAAAGTCCTTGAGCACATGTATAATTAAGAACTTAATTAACTCCACAGAGGGAAATAAAGCTGCTTTGTGTGCATCACCGTTTTGAAGGACTCCAGCATTGTTCTCAGAGCAGTAAGATTTCGTGGAATGCTGCTGAAAAGGGTGAATTGTAATTTTCTGATTAAGTGGAATARGAAATACCCTACTTCCCCAAGAAAAAAAAGACCCTCATAAATTTAAACAAAGACAAAATGTATTTTTTTACAACTTAAAATATATTTAAGATGCAAATAAATTGAGCACATTTAGCTTTCACTCAGGGAAAATAGTTAAATTCAGAGAATCTAGTTAGGGGTTTTTTAATGTATCAATATATAGCTTGAGGAAAGACTCTTTTATGCATTCAGAGGAGGTATTGCTCATATTTCTTTGCTAAATATCAGCACATGAACAACAGACTGCAGAATGACTGGTGCTGCTGAAAAAAAAGATCTCAAAGAGGGGTCATAAAGGGAGCAGGCATCAGATTTGATTTAAGGACAAAATCTCCTAAAAATAACATGCCTRTRTAYGATATCACTGCAGCAAAGAAGATGYAGATAATTATAATAAATTAAAATTGAGGTCCCCAAAAAGGACTGCTATGAGGATATATTTGACATACTAGAAAAAAGAAAGAAAAAATCATCTCAAAAGTAACACATATCACCAGAATTCTAGACTTTTTTATTGTATATTCTGCTAGGGGTAGTAGTAATTTTTTACTTTGCCTTACAAAGGAATGAATGAATGAATTGACTAATACTATTTAAAAAAATAAATTTTAAATGTATTAAATTAAGAATTGATCAGTTTGCTGAATAGAGGTTATACAGAAGTTAAAATCCCCTTAATTTAATTAAATAGAAAATGGTCAATTTATTTAATACAAATCCTATCCTGTGGTCAAAATACTCTTATCATGGAACTAATATGATCTTTGAAGTTCCATAAAATTACATATCTGACAATGTTTTGATCTTTCTAATATTCAAATGAAAGCTTCAATTGAAGGCTGAGRGGGACCAGAACCATTATTTCCATCTTAAATATCTTGGACAAGGAATTTAGCAGAGCTGGCTCCTCAAAAAGGGAGAAAACTCCAACAAAGCAGGATTTCCAGGGTGTCTTGCTGCATTAAAATTATCATTTCTGACAKAGCAGCAGCAGATTGAAGGCTGTGACTAAGGACAACAAATTTCAATTGTGGAAAATTAMACTTGTAATTTTTTAATAGTTCTCCAGCAAGAGATCAAATATCATTTGAAAGCATTGCTAGTAAGGTGATTTAAAAAACATTTCARGGATTAATGGAGTTATAGGCTACAGGAAAAAAAGGGAAATACAATTCTTCATAGTGACTTTTGATACATGAATGTAGGTGAAATTRAAAGATACTCATTTACATATGAGTAAATGTAATGAGGAAAGAAAAAATGAATCATGAAAGAAAGAAAGAAGTGAAGTTTTCTTGTTCCAAGCTACCAAACATCACACAAACACCCAGAGTAAAGAAGGCCCTGGTGACTTTTAATTTCTAGGACTCAGCAGATTATAAAAATCAAAAATTTAGGCAATGCTCAAGAAAAAAAAAGCCTCACTTGTTGATGGGTACAGCTTCAGCAGCAATAAAATTAAAAATAAGATGTGTGTTCTACACCTCTGATGATGAAAACTTGATTTCTTCAGTGTTTTTTTCTTTTCCTTTGTTAATATTAGGAGATGTTTAGGGGAAAACTGCATCCAGTTCACATCTTCCTAGTGAAATTTCTGAATTAACTAAAATTGGAGCAAACCTGAGTAAGATATCTGTAACAGTAAATATTAAATATAATGGGGCTTTAAAAATAGGAGTAACTGGAAGGAAAAACCTCAAACTACCAAAGACCAATATTTCCTTTTAGAAATAACAAAATATTTCAAACACAAATAAAGAGTTCAATGTATTTGAATAGAATGTTTAACCCACATCTTTTCCCCCGCTCACCAGGTAAATATTTTGCTCTACATCAAAGTTTTGGGGAATTGCTGTGGACTGAAAATGGAAAGAGGCCTTGCTGCATTACTTCTAGGCCTAACTTAAGATTCAGAGAATTTTAATAACTTGGCTAAGTCTTATTTCTATTAATATAATTCTCCCATCTATCAGAAAATGAAAAGGATATTTCCCACAGGATATAGAAACCCAAAAGATAATAATCRAATCTACATTTCCATAACAAATACCTGGATAATAAAATTTTCTCTATTTTTAATGTTGTGTAGGGCTATACAAGCACATACAAGTGTAGGTGGCTTACKTTGGTTTTGGGATACAGAAATGAACTTTGCAATATGAAAAAAATTTAATGAGTTCAATTTCACCTTCAATTTGAGCACTTCTATGTTTGATCAGAAGAGGTGGTTAACCATTTAATAACATTTTTCATATATTTTATGTTCAAAATGCACTGGTTTATGCTTTTAAATTTTCTTTTATTACAATGAAAGTGACTTAAAATTAAGTGTGGGAGGCATAAAAAAATCCACCCTACCTTATGTCAAGAAGAATATCAAATTATTGATCTGTAGACAGGAGGAAATTAAATATGGGATCCCCTTCTCATTTAAAAGAAAATAACTGCAACAACTCTTCAAAAAGTTCAGAGAAGAAACAGATTAAAAATGCTGGCATGAAKTCAACAACTGTCTTGAATGTATCTCCTGCAGGAGTTTCGTTTACAGAACACCACAAGTACAAGGATTTGTCAAAGTTTAGGGACGAAACTTTTTTTGCTGATCTTAACCCTCATACACAAAGTCACAGAGACATTTCATGGCTGTGACAGCCAAAATTATTACTTTATCTCTGAAAACAGAATTGTTTACAGTCACATATCATTTTAATATATTGTGYTTCAGGAAGTTTCTTCTTGGATTCATTGAAAATATCTCTGCATTTCATTAGGAGTCAGTTGAATAGGTGGCCAAAAATCAATCAATGTTTTTTTTCCACAGAGAGTTAAAAATCAGGTTTTTTTGCAACTCTGACACCTGAGTTGTATYAATCTGACATAATTTATCACCATCAAATATTCATGAAGTGTCAACTCAAACTTGTCAGTTCAATGTAAACTATTTAAATCTGTGTAATTGCATTTTTACCTTCATATGGTGCCATTCCACGTTCAGCTTGGTCTACAAAGAAAACAAAGAATGGAGATCAAAGTGAGAAGGGCCTTGTGGGTGTTAATAACAAGAATTTYGGAGGTAGAGRCTTGAGGCATAATCATAAAGACTGRGTTTATCAGGATTCCTTATTGACAACAAAAGGAACCAGTGGACCATCCCTTAGCTAAAATTTTCCTTTAGATTATTTACTGTCCCTGTGTAACTTAGGAAAGTGCCAAAGTCCCATGCCAGAGCGCAGGTTCAGAGATTCAGCCTTTTACTGAAGCACATCTGTGCTCTAGGACCTGCTAAAAATTCCGGTTTTGAGGACAGCAGTCATTTCCATTCCGTTTTCAATTCTTGGGTATACGCACTCTTAAGTTGTGTATTTCTTGATAATTTGGGAGAAAAAAAAAGTCTTACAAGGATTGTGGATATTCAGACAGCAAAAGCTTGAAGTAGGATGTTTAAAATATGGAATAACCCTTTTTGGAAGTTACAAATTTTGAAAGTTACGCAAAAAATCGACACAGTTGCTCCAGACTTGGACAAGTCATGTCTTGAAACACCTCTTAAGCTGGAGAGTGTAGAATACTTTTGGACCTGTTCCACTATTCCAGTGCTCTGAGATGAAAAAAGGCTTTCCCTGAACCAAAGTTTGGACATCTCATATTTCAGTTTATACCTGCTGTTCCTTGCCCTCCCAGGTCATGTGTGCCTTCCTTCATGCTCAACGATATCAATATATGAGTTTTGCGATGCTGTTTTCCAATATTGACACTGCAGTTGTACTGAAGTTAAATAGTTGAAGTGAAAGTATGAAAAATATGCTTTTCAATGGTATATTTTGCAAAATAGAGATTTTGCAAGTGGTTTCATCAGCAGTTAATTTAATAAAACAAATAAAAATGAACCAACCTGTTTTCCTCTGCTCGATGTTTCCATTCCCACTTTTCCAGCCTTAAAACCCTCTCACTGAAAGAAGAAAAAACAAGTGAGGTGTGAAGAGAAAAATAGAAGTAAATAAAAGTATCTCAAAAGTTTAGAATTTTCATTTGAAAAACTGAAACAACTTCAGGACATCTTTTATATTTTCATTGTTTTTCAATTTGAATATAGCTCACACCCTTCATCACTATTAAACCTATACAAGAGAAAAAGCTTTAAGTTCTCGTCTACCATATTTAACCTTCCTTATTCAAGAAATTTAATGCATCTGCAGAATTGCTTGGAACTTTTAGAACTTCTACTTATTTTTGATGAAGAGTGTTGGAAAAAGAACCTCTTGTACCCACCTTGATTMCTGACAAATAAAATCCAAATGCTAAGAAACTCACAAAGTATTAGGAATAACTTGAATTTAAAGCACAGCATCAATGTTGGTTCTGTTAACTATGACAGATATTTGGACATAAAATTTCGTTAGTTGAACAGATTTATCATGGAATAATTTCTATGCAAAGGCCAACATTTTCAAATGTCAGTACCCAAAAATCCATCTCCAGGCACACAATTAAAAAAGACATAATATTCAACTGTACATCTGTGTAATTTTGACTATTCTATGAAAATATAATGAGTTTMAAGCAAGTTTATATTGCCTGTAGATGTAATATCGGGATTTTGAGAGGCTTTTGGTTTTTAGGGGAACAATTCCAAGAAAACACTCCTTCAGATAAATTCCCTGCTTGACCATAGACATTAAATAAAACCCAGCTATCTTCCTACCAGATTACACCCTTCTGTTCTTCACAACAGAGGAGAGCCAACAAAATGGCTGAGCATTGTTGAGAAATAAATATTTYAAAGAGATAGTCAGAAAGTTCAATTTTGTGCATGGTGACTAAAACATTAGGGATGATATTCTTAGCATACACAAAAAAAATATCTCAATCCATCTTTTCTTGTATGAATTGCAAAGACATTTAAGAGTTTAATCTTCCTTGTTTCTGTAGAAAGCAGATATTCCCATTTTTCTATTTTGTTTCCATCCACGTGGATCCATTGAAGAAATATCACCCAGACAACTGAAAGCARCACTCTCAATTTTTGCATTAAACTCCTTTTCTTACACTCAGTAATGTTTTGGACAGCAGCATTAGAGCATTTTAGCAGACACGTGCAAGTCCCYGGTTTTACAAAAGGGAAATTGAGATATTAAACGCACCATCACAAATTTAGAAGTAAGCAGTTGGCTGASAAACCTTTCCTCTGACGATTCCTGTCTCGTTAGCTTTCCTGCAAGCCTCCCAAGAGTTTCTTTAGCTGCACCATGTGATATTTCACTACTGCTGTTTTCTGCTCTTGCAGCAAAACCTACTATTTCATCGTAAACAAATAGTGTTAACGCTTGTGATGCTTAATGTTTTGTCAGCTTGCTCAGCAAGTGTGAAGGAAATGCAAACACTTTCRAGCCTTTTTTCGTGCTGTCAGACTGCACTAAGTTGAGGAGATCTCCCAAATGGATGGCATTGTATGCTGCATTTAGAACGTTTGCTAAAATATTAAGAGTTGACAGTCTTTCCGTTCTTAAAACCTGGTTATTAAACAAACATTTTGTTTTTCTACCTGGAGCAAACAGAGATCTTTGTTCACAAAAAGCTTGCAGGCTGTGGACATGTTTTTTAGCTGTGACAGGCTTGCTTCCCAGAATGGCTTGCCTCACTGTCTTTACTGTGGATGGCTTCCTGGATATTCCTAAGCATAATTTCTATACTCATGTTTTATATTATATTTTGATATGCAAATCTGCACATTATCTACCCAATTAGATATGCTTTTCAAAASCCTAATTTTTCATAAATATTTATATCTTTTGTCACTTCATATAATTAGCCCTTTATAATAAGTGGAATGAAAAACTCGATGTGAACAACATGATTTATTTGAGAAATATGGGTTCCTTTTTTCTGCCATTGGTTCTGTCCATATATCACCCTTAAAACAAGACAAAAGGTGGTTGCAGTACATAAATCATTAATAACAGATAAATTGTGCAATTGCAATAACTTCTACTACCTTTAACCAGCGTGGGCAGCCTTGGGAAAAGCTCGTGTACGCAACTCTTACCATGCACAATSAAAACATTTTAGGGGTTTAAGGGCTCAAAGAAGTAAGTAATCCTTAAGTTTACCAACCCCTTGATTTCAAAAGATGCTTGAGGTAMACTAAAACATTGAAAATGTAAAGTTCAATGTATTTAACAGATATCTCGTGCTTTTTGACAAGGCCTGTGATATTCAAACCAGCCTCTAGCTGCTGATCTAGAAAGTTACGTGTTTCCATAGATCATAATCTCCAAACCCCATGCAGCTGCCTCAGATCCTCCATTGCATCTCAAATGCCAAGAGATGCTTCCTTTTAAGCAACTGAATCAAACCAACACTGAGCTGGCAGAGCTGTTATCTTGTAATTAGTTTAAAGCTGTGAATGAGATGCAAGGTAGCGTGTTGCTCTATTTGGTGTGTGAGACAAAAGAAATTGTCATTTTTGGGGCTGTCCACCTGTGAATGGTTGAATGTAGTATTTGGGCCTTGGTGGGATTTTTTGTGGTGGTGTTGGTTCTTTTTTTTTTTTAAAGCCTGATTATTTGGGTGCTTAGAAGCCTGATTTTGATACCCTTTCTCATTTCCTGTACTTTTATACTCTTGGGTTGGTCTGTTGAGTCGAGGAGGTCACCAAAAAGGTTTTACAAGAGAAGCAACCAAAAAAAACCATGAATGCACTGGCAAACTTAATTTCTTGTCTCATAGTGGACTTCTGGTTTGTTTGGTTTTWTTTCTGCCTCAAGATGATTTTTAAACAGACTTGAACAACCCTTTACATAACATTGTCAGCTTGAACCAGATTTATTTGTCCAATGAAGTGTGTTTTATCAGAACATTCATTACCCTTTTTGAACACAGCGGAGTCAAGGATCAGAAAGCAATTTTCCTTCTTTCCTGTTCTCAAAACCATGATTTTTTTTAGTGAGGTTAAGCAGCCCTTTTTCAAATTCCCTGTGCTTGATGTGTCATCTATGGATGAGTCAAGCCTGTTATGCTGGAACTCTGAATACAAGAATTGTCCCTCACTCCAAAAACTTTGGAAAGGAACGCTTTATTTTTTTTTTTTTTCCATAGGTAAATCTGGAATAAGTTTTCTTTTTGTTTGTAGGTGTCATGGCCATACCCATTGATATAAGGTGTTTGTATGCAGGCTCTTCAAATATTCATGTTTGCACCATGACTGCATTGCCTAACCAGCTCTATTTTTTTTTTTTTTGAAAATACTAAAGCTGCTACATCAACATGAACAGACTGGAATTTCTTTGCATTTTTAGAAACATCTGCTCTGCATATCACTGTGTAATATAKCTATATATTTACTGCAAAAGAAATTAAGGTGTCACTTTGCTGCCAAAAATTTAAGCATGTGCAGGACAGCGCTATTTTCGACACGCCGCAGATGGAGTGCTTTAAAAAGGACAGCTTAGCCTTTGCAGCCACATATAATGGATGTATACCCATCCTCCAGATAAAAAACAACTCCTTGGAGTGAATGTTTAGTCTGCCTTTTTGCTCTRCTCCGAGTTTTACTTCCAACAGCTGCTTTCCAGTTCACGTGAAAATACTATTGATGATTGAGGGGAGAGCTTTGSCTCTAAAGCATGAGTCGTGTTTTTCTTACTGACCAGCTTAGCCCTTTCTGTAATATAAGGGAACACGGATTTCCAGGTCCAAATTCCCAGGAAAATACTCCCATGAAACAATGATGGGCTGAATGGGGTACCCTGAAGACTCTGACCATGCAACTCAGCCATTATGTAGAATAAAATGTAATATTCATGGGGAGAGATGCAAAAAGGGGGAGTTTAAGGCCATAAAGTGGTGGTTACAACATTCAGCTCCAGCTCTGGTTATTTCAAACAGCTCCTACATCCTTCGCCTTGCTCAGACCAGAAATGCACAATGAAACACTGGGAAGACTGTGGAAAATGTTCAAGGATTGGCATGCATAGGAAACTTTGGTGGAATTGAAGAGCAAGA